AAGATGTTATAGTATGCAAAAAGTCCAACAAATAGCTGCTGTTTTTGGGGAATCTTGCTGGCGTTATTGCGTGCGTCTCACCGACCGTACTGATAAATGCAACATATACCGCAGGAAGCATGGGGATGTAACCAAATCTGACGAGACTTCTCACTCAACTACAATATCATTGAAGGGATAAAGTATCAGCACCATTTTGTGAAAAGCTCCAATCAACTTTCAGAGTCGCAGAAGCATTCAATAATATATATTCGGCTTATACGGTTACTGCATGGGCGGGCCGATGCAGAACCCATGCTTCCGTTATCTGAGATGAATCCGCGGATAAGTGGCAGACCGATAAATGTCAGGCTAGCCACATCCAGACTCAGTCAGGGTCTTTGTCCCTGGACCATGCGCGAGACGCCACTTTGTCATTGTGAGCCGCAGGGTACGGCATAGTTGCGTGAAACACATGGGGGGGTCGCATTTGCCGCTGTGGAGGGAGGGGGTTTGGTCGTTGCTGGAAGAGGATAGGGTGGTAAGTGCCTATGGGAGAAATTTGCCGCGTTGGGGAATTTTTCGCGACTGTTGACTTTTCGCGGTCCTACCCGTTTCACGTTGGCTATATACTGTACCACCCCCCCCCTCGCTTGTCGACAGCAAATTTTTTGGGTGAAAAACTGGGAAATGTGAGGAAATACCGGAAAAACTGGTAGGAAGTTGGGAACTTGTAGGAAAGTGGTAGGTAGGTTCTGGGAAAGGGGACGGTGGGAAGGTCTTGGCAAGACGCTCCCTTATGTGGGCGGGGGTCGTGCCGAGACCCTACTTTGGGGGAGGGTGGGGAGGTGGTATGGCACCACCATTTCACACATCACGATGCTGTACCGTGGTAGGCCTTCACTAGAACATCACATCACAGGGCACGGAAGGGTAGAGGTACGGATGTGGAAGAGACTTTGCCAGGATACACCATGTAGTCGACTGCCAACCAAAATTGTAGTGGCATTTGAACATGACGAAGCTAGCTGAGCTTGAATGCACACTCCACGTTGGTAGTAGGGGCGGGATCGGGCGGACCATTACGTCCTCTCACTGGTTTCTCCTTGTCAGAGCGCAGCAAAGTGAAGGAGCGCACCAACGAAGAACATGCAATGGGCCGCCTGTCTCCACCTATACACCCAATGAAGCTAGTGCCTCCACGTACACTCGGGATCCCTCTGACGAGGTAGGCGGAATCGCGGACTTCACGCGGGCGGCAGCAATCTTAATCTCACCATTTCACTTTCATGTAGTCCAGAGAAGAAGAGGTGCAGGTCTTGTGCCAGAGAAGGAGCGCAGAGAGCACAAGGCAACGGTGACTGCTGCCCCACAACGCAACATGAGAATTGGGATTGCAGCCGCCGTCGCGTCCCAGTGAAGTCCGCAGTTCCGCCTATCTCGTCAGAGAGATCCTGACTGTAGTAAGACAGAGGTCGAATGATACAGCAGTCAAAGCTGTGAAAGGAAAATAAGAAAACCATTTAGTGTGATATGTCCGAAAAAATGAAATATCATTAGCTACTTGGATTTTTCAGATTTTAATGATTCTTTTTTTATCACCGAATTCAGTCGGGGCATGTCAATGAGAGCGGTGCGCCACCAGCCCTTTTCCGATTACTCACTTCTGCCGAAGCCGCAAAAATCGTTGACAAAAGGGCTGGCGCCACACCGCGCCTCGCTGACACGCCCCATCTGACTTCACTGGTAACGACTCTAATCAGATGAAGGTGACGTTACTTTCGAATAACTCACGGTGCTGAGATAACCCACTGCGAGTTCAGGACGTCGCTGAAGGAATGACAAATAATTTTTTAGGCCAACGATTGGTCAACGAAGAGACTGCACGGGAGGGCAGTAGTGTTGGGCGGCAATTTGAATATGCTCTACCCCAACCACCAGCTCCTAAACCTTCACCGCCGGCATTTCCTCCATTTAATATCCAAGAGCCAACCAGAAATGGTATTGAACCACCGCCAGAAAAGGAATTGGTGCCAAAGTTCATCAACTTCTTAGAAGTGCCCGAAGACCACCGCAGCAACGAGGTGGATGAGGAACCGTTCAGGACTATTGTGCCGCAACCGCCTGGTTTTCGGCCAATTGAAGGGAACGATTTAATAGAGGAAGACAGTTGGCATACGGACAACACGAATCTACAACCCTCTGAACCGGTAACACAATCAACAACACAATCGTGGAGTGTGGCACCCAAACGACCGTATCAGAATATGCGAATAGTTCCTTCCGACACAGAAGTGGCTCTTCCGGAAGGGTCAGCTCTCAGACCAGCAATATTCGGCAACAAATGCGAGCTCGTTGGGGAGCGACAGCGTTTTTGAGGTGAGATACAGCTTTTGGTATTATCAAAGGTGGTAGCAGTTATTTTCTTACATGTGTCATATCTAAACAAGGGGAGGTCGTTCAGGGCGTGGTGCGCTTTTCGAAAACGGTTTTTTGCATATTGTGGGGGCTCATGCAAGGACCTGAAAAGTGTGCTTCATTTTCGCTGCGCTGCTTCCAGGAACGGTAAAAAACGAAAATTCTTTGGAATCTGCTTCGTTCTGGGCCTCTTTACGGCGTAGGTCACTTGCAACTTTGACCAGTTGCTGAGTGGGGGGTCCTTATAAAGGGGCTATTTGAATCGAAGCGAAAAATCGCCGCTGCCACAGTGGGGTCATGTGCAAGGGTGAAGGCTTAATTGGCAAGGTTTCATCAAACGATAAGAGCGCTGCAGTTGCGGAGCATCGGATGGCCTAGCGGATAGAGTGAAGGTTTCGCAATCGGACAGTGAGGGTGGGGTTGATGGTTCGGCTCCCCTTGCGTCGCGGCTTTTTTGCATTTTTTAGAGATTTCGCGCGCAATGTTTTCTCGCTTCCATGCTTCCTGACTCTGCGCATGAATATAACTCGGATATTTGCCATTTATGGGCACATTCTGAGTAGCTGTACCTCATGAGTCAGTGCTATTCAACTATTTCGATTTTCACGCACCATTGAACAAGATTTTGCTAAGAGCGTTTGATCCTTGCATGAGGCTACAGATGGCATTCTGATGCAATTTAGTAAGTTCTGTGCGTGGGTGTCAATATGTAGATCAATTTGGGGGACAGGGACGGCCACATCTTCTATTCCAGTGAACCCTTCGTTATGATATAAAACAAACAATATATGGGAACGTCAGCGCTTATTCTGTCGCCATATTGCAGTGGACGCCAAGAATTGATTCAGCGACCATTTGATTTTACCACTAAAAAACAAATTATGGGGTTAAGAAACAATCGTTGGGGACCTTCTTTGGCGTTCGCTCACTGCGTTGTTCCGGTGTCCGTAGCAGCCACCGAAAATTTAAACGTCATTCGCAAGTTAGAAAGAAGATGTTGAGACTCGCTCACAACTGGCCGACCAAATTGGATCGGACCACCTACAACCCGGAGGAAAGTCAAAAGCCATTTTTTTCGCTGGAGAAGTTTGTTCCAGGGGTAATCGGACAGTCTGATCACGATTCTAGACTTTATTTTCGGTTTCAGTGCCATCTGGCACCGGCATAGCGCCGAGGAGCTGAGTCTGTGCATACTAACGAATTCGAACGAAAAAGCAGCTTTTTTGCTCCAATGTCTACCCTTTTACCTTTTCAAATCCAGCCTCTGACTGGTTTGATTACAGGCTTGAATCTGTTGAAGCAGTTTGCGGCCGACTAAAGTAGTGGGATTGTTCAGTTTATCGTGAATGTTTTTGTTAGGACCAATTATTTAGACAAACATGGATCCAAAAAATGAAAAATTGTAGAAAAGCAAAATTTTGTCCTCGGTGGGATCCGAACCATCGACCTATTTTTTTACGTTTTTTTTTTATTCGTGGAAAGAGCGGCACCGCGCGAAATGAACCGCAGTTTTCGGCCCTCGTATGTGTCCTGCATATGCACGAGACCATTTTGAAAAGCCTCCACCACGCCCTGGAACGAAACCTCCCCTTGTATATGCGCGAGAGAGGGGCAAGCTACGAAAGAGCGGCGGAGGTCCGGAGGAAAAAGTCCGAAGTGGCCAGCAGAACGTCATTGCATATGACCAGCCAGAGCACGGTAAATAAGCAGCGTTCGCCGGGACCTCCCCTTTTCGCTTTCAGATATGTACGACACCTATCCGTCTATGCCTTTCCTTTTATCCAGGCGCGTATTGGCGACCAATGTGCCACTTTCTTGACCTCACTTTTCAATTTTTTCTTTTTCCATTGCTTTCCGCAAGTGTAAGTGCTTACTTCTTGAGCATATAGTTGTGAAAACGTTGAACAGTTGACTTATTCACTTTTTGTGAGGCACATTAGCGCGGTTACTCTGGGGTTATCGAAGCCGTATGTGGGTATAGATAGTGTTAAACCAAGTGACTATATTGTGCCGCTTTCGCGTCAGAAAATTACTTAGCAAGGACATTAAGGCAATAGGCACGATTGCTGGGGGCGGGCGGTTGTCGCCAGCGTCATTGGTGGAAGGGCTGAGTGGGGGCCTGGCCAGATACGCTCTCGCAGCCCTCAAACCAGTAACGCTGGCAACAACCAACCACCTCCAGCATCGTGCCCCATCAAGTGACTCGGTTCCACGCTGGGACGTGGGGTTTTGCTAGTTTGTGCGCTACGTCGCCCTCCTCTTGCCTAACGTGTGCCAAGAAACCCCACAAGAACTTGAAGGGCCCTACTTAGGGCGCCTTCCTTCGCTGTTTCAGGTTTATACTCCAGCTCTTAAAAAAACATAGAAAAAAAAAGGACACTCAAAGGGCTCAAAGGGAACTCTCGGTTTTTCGCTGTTTCCTCTTTGGATGATATGGCTACTCTTTGGTTTCCATGAATGGTGACTTCTCGCACTGCTCTCGCACATTTTCCAAACTCGCCCATCTATACTATTTTTTAGCCTGGTCCCCTGAAGTCAGAAAAATACATGAGTTTCAGGTCATGCCGCGTCCTGCTCCATTGAGTGCAGCTATTCCGTTAGGGATGGTAAGCAGCAAGGAGATGTTACCGATTACTGAGCTGCCACGTCGTGTTCATCATTTCACTGATCCTTTATCCAGAAAGAAAGTGTTTGCCGATGTACAGCCAGGTGATTGTGTTGATGAGTTCATTAATAATGAAAAATTATTGTTGCATAATCGGTAGTGCGCTTTGCGCAGCAGACCGCTTGGACGTCTCCCACATTTAGGGGGGGCGACCGAATGTCGGTCCGCGCAACTCCTTTCCCACAAAATTATGCCCTTTCCCACGACAACGATTGGTAGAAGGCTTGGCTTGGCGCCCGCACCATTTCAACCCCCCCCCCCCAGACACGCGCCAGAGTTCGGGTAGGTGAGCAAGGACGTACTTGCAGAAGGTTTACTCCCACTTTGGAGTTGTACGCAAGCGCTACGCAAGCAATAGAGGAGCAATATAGAAAAGTGGGAGGGGGACCCGGGGCGCGGCTAAATGTGCCTGCACACAAAGGCTGTATGTAGCCGTGGTTGAAATGTCATCTCTATTTGGCAGCCACGTCCTCCCACTGAGAGATGTTTATAAAAAATAATCCAAACCCCTCAAAATTTCCTTCTGTGACAGGAGCACCCTTCCTCAGACATTTTCCACCACTTTTCCAAATTTGCTTTCAAAAATTCTCCACATTTTCTTCAAAAAACCGCCTTCGAGCGGGAGTGCCGGAGCAAAAGGGGGGAGGCGGGCATGAAACGGGAAAATCGGAGAGAAGACAACACCGAAAACATTTTTCCACAGCGGCAAACCGGAGCTGAACACGACCTCCCGCGATTTCCAGTTGTCAACAAAGAGTGGTCCGCCTTGAAGGCACTCTTGCGCCACTCTGGTATGTGTGTAGGACGAACAGTACAATGAAAAAGGATAAGAAGAAACTTGTTTCGATAAAAATTTGCAATTTTTAACCTCAAGCAACTGCTGGACTTTGTCGCGAAGGTGCGAAAATGGTTGGCACGCCGCTGCGCCCGTAGGCATGAGCTAGTACTCAAAGAAATGAACAGTCTAAAAAAAAATGCATGAAATAGATGAAAGAATTCATTATGGAAGGGTCTCGAAGCGAGGCCAGCTTCAGACTTTGCTGTCGACGGTGCTGTACAGCGCTTGCTACAGGCGCGAGCCTGCGATGCGCTCACTGCATTAGGTTTCTGAACGCTGCTCAAGTGGGCTGTTCCGGCGGCTGTCCGTTTGTCCACTTAAACTCTTTGAAAGAAATCTTGGCCGGATTATGTGACCAGCATAAATTACTGCTACGCTCTGAGCAGCACTAATCAGTGCCACAACTCTCTCTAGCCTAACATAGAGTCCTATCCTGCAAAAAAATACTTCCACGAGCAGTATTTTTAATTTTTCTTCCTCTATCACTATCAACATTTTCTGTTTTTATTTATCGTTCTATTGGTGCCGATTCTAACACAACTTTTCGAAAGCTGTGACGAACTCGTAGCATAGCAAAGTTATTTTCAGACAAAGCACGTGATTACAGTCGACGGTGCTGTGAATGGTCTCTTAGTGGCCTATGTGATCGTCATTGGCGGCGGATTCGAAGTATATGCCCAAAAAGTTGTGGTTCATTAGTATGCGATGGTATGAACACTTGGATCGCTGCCAAATAAAAACATCATTTGAACAGTAAAGAAGTTTGTCCATTCAGATATTGAAGGCATGAAGTCGTGCACACGAATTGTAGACGTAGATGTTGAGGATTGCTTCCAATCGTCCCGTTTGAGCAGGTGAGGATTTCGAGGAAGTGACCGTATAATTACTTTTTACATTCGCTAATTTAGTTTTTTTTTATTCACATTAACGGCGTGCCCAATAAAAATGGACACAAAACAAGATTTCAAATCTAATAAATGCCAAGTCAGTGCTATTTTTTTGTCGGTGCATGGTGACACATTTGGAACAGTAGTTCCGTATGGATAACGGAGACAATCCCAACTTTGCACAATGGGTTATATCAGACCACGAAATATTACTGACTTCAGTGTTAGACCCTCTGTTCAAGCTTCTTGTGGTGCAATTGTAGATAAGAACAGCTGCGCCCTGGAATTTTACTAATTTTTGAGCTTGGTTCCACCTACACCGGCGCACACCCCCAGCGTACTTGTCTCCCGCTTCTCAATCGTTGACACCTGTTGACCTTACCCTACTTTGATCCAGTGTATGAAGTGCTCTGCAACCAAATTATAATTTTTCGAAATGAATACCTCATTCTCGAGGGCACGCTCCGCCCACTGTGGGCGGATATGAAAGAACCACAGGCATGCTCAACTCTCATCAGATCTTCCTCTCTTGTCCATCGACTTCTCTCATCTCTCAGTTCTCTGGAACAGTGAGCTACTGAATTTCGTGAGAAGCACCGCCTATCTAGTAGGACCGGCCCATTCCGGTATGTTCCCCATGCCAACTCCTTGTCAACGTTAGTCCGCTTTTCCCTTTTTCTGTGCTGGTCTGGAGCCCAGTTAAGGATTTTGCATGCGACACCGCTAGCTTTCGGCGCATGCTCCGCCCACTGCAGGCGGGGCATGTGCCGTGATTCACATGTGCTCTTTACATCTTGTCCTATGGTCCCAAGTCCTATCCCCAATCTTGACCCGACCTGTCCGACCTGGCTCTTCAGGTAGAAACGAATTTCCGGACAAACAAATGTGCAAAAAAAAACACGTGCAGCAAAGTACATAGAGTAGGATTTTATGGATGTTGTTCCTATTATTACTGGTACAAACCAGAAAAAAAAGTTAAGACCGCAAGAAATGCTCATCCTTGGCTTGTTCCAGGTTTTTTTCAGCTGCTGTACCAATACATACGGGGGAGGGAAGGGCAGAAAAGACAACTCTTCCTTTCCGACGTTCGAGGCGACATTAAGTTACACTTTATCAAATTCTGATTGGAGTTTGCCACCCAGGGCCACGAGCATTCGATGGGGATTTTGTTCAGGCCTGTAACGGACCCCCCCGCCTTTTTGGGGGTTCGGTACGACCCCCCCTTTTTAGTGTTTGACGTCACATAATTCCTGAAATTAGATATAAACAATTAGATATAAAAAATAGATATAAACAGTCCTACCTAAATTGACTTGATTTACTTATGTACAAGCGTTTGTGATCAAAAACACGATGAGTAGCATACACACAGCATAAATGCGAGTTAAATGAGACTATGATTAAAACCAAAAAACAAAAGCGGTATAACAGAAAAAGAAAACAAAAAAGAAATACGCCTAAAATGCATTAACCCCGAGATGTGGAGTACGGTAGCAGAGATGCGTACGTAATTGCAGCCGTGACTGGAGCAAACGGCTATTAGCCATGGAGCGAGAATTTTCAGCAAAGTAGGGTGTCTTTGAAGGACCATAACTTCCTCAAAAGCGGACCTGTGGGGAAGAGGAGAGCGTATTGGTAAATTAGAAGGTTTGATCTTCCTGAAAGTACTAAAATGTTCATGAAGGTCGCGAAAATCACAGAGAAATCTGCCATAGGGATTCGTTGGGGAGTGAAGGGTTGAAGTTCAAGTTGAACAGGTTTGAATCAATATATTTTTTTTGTAACTCAACATTTCACAAATCTGAGAACGGATCCGAGCTTCTCAAGATTTTCTCTTTCTAAAAACCTATTAAACCGGTTCCTGATAGCACTGTCGGGATTGCCATTGAGGGATCTCGCGATCGGGGGATTTGCTTAGGCGAGCACTCCCAGCCGCGTGAAAACCCGTTTTACTGTGCAGCGCTTTCAGTGAGCGTTTCGGGATGAGCCAGGAACGCATGGGTAGAACGTGATCCCTGTGCGATGGGAGAGCGAGCAGTGATATGTTGTCGTTTAGCGCTGTATCACGCTGACTTTGTAGCCGCGCGCACTGAGGTCCGCGCAGAAGTGATGGGATGGTGCAACTTGTGCATAATGTGTGTCCACGCGCGCAAATGTGTCTGTAGGATTCAGGGAGGTCCATGGCGAACCTGTGCACTTGTCTACAGTGTTTTCCCTTGCGGATGATGTAGCGTGTCCGTGTCGACGCCGCCAGATCTGTGCTCCGATAGTTGCTGATTCCGATAAAGGAGACCAAGTGCTGGAAAACGTCTGGTACGAACGATATGGTAGTCCTGTCGTTTGTCAGAAAAAAAAAACAGGTTGGCTCAGCGCCAAGCGTGATCGCGGACACGCCCCATCATCCGCAGCAAACCAGAGTATGAGTTGTAGTGTTTAATCACTTACGAGATGTTGTCGACTTATTAATAATTCCAATTATTTCGGATTAGTTTGATGGATGAAAGTTTTGTACTCATTTTTTACATATCCGAGTTCTCTACGAAGCAAGTTCCGCTACACAGGATTCAGCACACTGACACCTTTGCGCTGCTCGATACTGGCTACCGCACTCATTACGACCCCCCCCTCTCCTGGCGGCCAAATACGACCCCCCCATGGGGATTCCCCAACCAATGCTGTGCCCTGCTCAGGCCACGAAAGTTCAGCAACAACAATTGTACATTACCACGATTTCGTGCGCTTCAGCCTTCTGACGAAGGCCGTCGAGAAATTCGGCCACGCAACTGTGATTCGGTGCCTTAGTTTAGCGAGGTCGTTGATTTCTCCGCCACTGTAGACCACCCTGTTGAGCTTCAGTCGAGTGCCGCGGGATGTGGAACGGAGTACACACCTGGACAATTCCGCCTTCTTCAGGTTTCAACGCCCTTCGAGTCAGGAGGGGGGAGAGGCTTTTACTGATCCCTGGTCGGCTTCCGATGGAGCTGTGCGCACCCGGAATACTGTAGCAGTACTGTTCCAAGATGGTACGGGCGACAACATGAAAGCACGATATTCTCCCGAGTTGGTCGATGAAAGCGTCAGCGTTTACTTTCAGCTGCAGGCTGTCACGAAGCGAACATATCGGCTCTCCATTCCGGACTTCCGGTTCTATACCATGGAACCGCGCCTTGGCGACGGTCGTGTGTGAAGATGATATGCTGCGACGTTGCGGGAGGGATGTCGGAGCTATTCCGAGGGTGTTGGGAAGGGTCATCTCAGAATCAGAGTGCCTGGTCTCAGCATAGCTATTGTATGTCGGTGACTGCCACACGTAGAAGGTTCGCAGCTGGTTGGAGGGGTGACGATGAATGTCCAAAGCCGTACTTCTCCAGTTCAGGTGCCGCGGACATTGATCGCCAGCCTCGGTATTTATGTGTAATGAAGTTGATGGGGGCGGAAAGCCAGCCTCCTTGCTCATAGCGGAACATCTTGCGGTATCTTTGCGCCCTTAGTACTCGTGATCCACGTCTTCTGCTCTGGGACAGCGAAACGTTGCTGATCATCGTGACTCGGGCCGCCATTGTCGGTTCTATTTGGCGGCACCCCTGTATTGTGAATGTAGTGCGTCCTTGCGCAAAACTGCCTCTTCCGTGCACTTACACGATTGAGAGCTGACTCCAAAAACTACCACCGTTACTCTAGGAGGTTACCACTGTGCCATTCACGAGGTAAATTTTCAGGTATGTCGCTAGAACAAATGGCCGAAAACTGAAGCAGGAAAAACGATTCTGCTCATCGAGGGGTATCATACATCAGAAACTCGACGGTATAGGTCATCGACGACGTGTCATAGTCAAAAAGCGCCACTAATTTGTAATAATATTGATAAATACGTTTGATCTGTCATTTTACAAAATCACTCCTGCAGAGTTATCATTGTATTTCTGATGACTACTCGATTAGGTCATTGTGAAGTAAGCTTAGCGGATAGAAAGTATAAGTGCGATTTGGATCCAGATTGTTCATTATTGCGATACTTATAGCGGGAGGTACTAAGCTACTTTTAATATAGTAATTAATAGCCTCGTGCAATAACTTACGCTATCCATTTTTCAATTACGCTCGCCATAATGATAATATTGTGGAGGGGGGTGCGGGGGGGGAGCGCTTTGCTAGCCTGCTGCCTGTTCACGTGGTTTGTGCTATTACATGAATATTCGGTTTCGAAAGCGACCTATGCCATTCCTAGTAGCCTGAGCCTCTTAGCTCTCGTTCATTTTTTTCCAGAAAGAACACCGCTGTATTTCCTTCAAGGTGTCTTGGCGACCTGCCAAAAACTCACATGCTATGTCGGAATAGTGAGACTAAATTTAATGTTCTAAGGCAGCGTTCAGACTTCGCGACGGCAGCGCTTCCGGTCGCGCCTTCGACGCGATCGAACGATGCATTTAAAAGCATGGGTATCGGATTGCGCGACGAACGCGCGACAAAAGCGCTGCCGTCGCGAAGTCTTAACGCTGCCCAGGTCACTGTGTCTGGTTATGTGCCTGTACATCATAAAGCAAAATAAATTATTCATGGATCCATCTTGACAGTTGGAAAAAAATTCGAAGACATTTCAACAGTTAGGAAGGACTAATTTCCAGCGGAAATGCTCAGAATTCGACTAATAAACGGTTCTTCAATAAAAAGTGGAGCAGCGAAAACATCATAAATCAAAGCGAGCACAACATAGAAAACCATCGAAAATTACTCGAAAATGACATAGGGAGTGGTCATCGTCGTTACATGGCAGAGCGCGCCTCAATACTGCGCTCTTGAGGGCCTTCATTTTGTTCCTTTTTCACTCGTCGAGGCTTTATTGAGGTTATAACGTTTACACCTGGGAATGTCCGCGTAATTGATTAGTGTTGTGGTTCTAGGGCGAACTTCTTTCTAGTTTCTTTTTTTTTCTTCTTTGTTCGAACCACGACTTTGGTGAAACTATAAAAT